TATAATTTGTTCTAGGTTTACAGGAGAATATACATACATTCTCCTCACACATACACACAATTTCCCCTATTATTAGCATCTTGTATTAATGTACTACATTTGTTACAGATGTCAAATCAATACTGACAGGCTATTGCTTTTTTTCCATTTTTTAAATTATAGATTAATATGAGGGTACATTGTTTAGGTAAAGTTGTTTTTGCTGATAGACTATTACTAACTAAAGTACATAGTTTACATTAGGGTTCACTTTTTCTGTGGTATGGTTCTATGAGTTTGACAAAAGTATAATGTCAGATATTCACCGTTACAGTGTCATGCAGAATAGTTTCACTGCTTTAAAAATCCCTTGTAGGGCGGTGCCTGTGGCTCCACAGAGTAGGGCACTGACCCCATATGCTGGAGGTGGTGGGTTCAAACCCAGACCCGGCCAAAAACTGCAAAAAAATAAAAATTAAAAAATAATAAAATAAAGAAATAAAATCCTTTGTGCCCCACCTATGTATCCTTTTCTTCTTTTACACTCTGCTGTACCCCAGAACACTTTCTGAGCACCAGTCTTTTTATTGCTTAGTTTTGCCTTTTCTAGATTGTCATGTGATTGGAATCATACGTTATTTAGCTAGTTTGGGTTGGCTTATTTCACTTAGCAGTATGCATTTAAGATGTCTTCATGTCTGTTCATGACTTGAAGCTCATCTCTTTTTATTCTTGAATGACATTCCCTTGTATGATGTACTATAGTTTCTTTATCTATGAAGGAAATATTGACTGATTCCAGTTTGGGGCAGTTATGAATAAAGCTTCTGTAAAATATGTGTGCAAGTTTTGGGGTGGATATAAATTTTCATTTTATCTGGGAGAGCAATTGCTAGATTATATGCTAAGACTGAAATTGCCAAATTAGCTGTACCATTTTGCATCCTCATAGTAGTAAGTAAGAGTTTCTGTTGCTCCACAAAATCATTTTGTCAATGTCCACAAAGTAACTTGTTAAAATTTTGACTAGGACTTCATCTGTAGATTAAAGTGAAGAACTGGCATCCTAGTAATATTTAGACTTCCTGCCTGTGAACATGCAATGTCTGTCCATTTATTTATATTTTCTTTGATTTTTTTTTATATCAACCTTGTAGTTTTTTTCCTACAGATCTTGAATACACCTTGTTAGATATATACCTTAGTACCTCTCTCCTTTTTGGTGTGCTGATATAAATGATAGTATGTTTTTAATTTCAGATTCCAATTTTTCATTGTTCATATTTTTAAAAGCTAATGATTTTTGTATATTAACTATGTATTCTATAGCCTCGTTATAATCACTGATTAGTTCTAGCAAATGTTTCTAGGTTTTGGTTTTGAGTTTTGTTGTCTTTTGTTTTTTTAATAGATTCTTTGGGATTTTTATTTAAATAACTGTGAACTAAGACAGTTGTGTTACCTTCTCCCAGTTTTTCACCTTTTATTTCCTTTTCTTGTCTTACTGTATCAGCTAGGACTTCAGTATAAAGTTGAATAGAAATTGTGAGAAGGGACATCCTTGTTTTGTTCTTGACCCGAGCAGAAATAATGCAGTGTTTCACCACTAAGTATGACATTAGGTGTTATTAGCTGCATATATTTTACATGTTCCATAGAGGGTGAGGACATTTCCCTCTATTCTTAGTTTGCTGAGAGTTTTTATCAAGTGCGGGTATTAAATTTTGTCAAATGTTTTCCTACATCTGTTGATATGATCATAGGTTTTTTTTTTCTTTAATCTGTGGATGTGATGGATATCTATCCTTCCATTTTGTGATGGAAAACTTGTGATTTTCAAGTTTTGAACGAGCCTTTTATATCTGAAATAATATTAACTTGGGATTATAGCATATAATTCTTTTTATTCATTATTTGAGTTCAAATGCTAATATTTCATTGAGCACTTTTGTATCTATGCTCCTAAAAGATATCGGTCTGCAGTTTTCCTTTCCTTGAATGTTATTCTGTCTTCAAAGACTGAGGTAGGAAATACTCCCTCTGCTGTTTTCTACAAGAGATTGTTACAATTTCTTCCTTAAATGTTTGATGTAGGATGAGTGTTTTATAACGCTGTGATTAGCTTTCAGTTTAGTTTAGTTTTATTTTGTTTTGAGACAAGCTTTCACCCAGACTAGAGTACAGTGGCCTAAGCATAGCTCATTGTAACCTTGACCTCATGGGTTCATATTCCAGCAATCTTCCCACATTAGCCTTCTGGGTAGCTATGACTACTGGCATGCATCACCACTTTTGACATATATGTATACATACACTTATATACATACACAGTATTTTGCAGAGATGGGGTGTCACTGTGTTGCTCAGTCTTTTTTTTTTCCTTTTACTAAGTCATATACACATAGATCATGAATACATTTATGCATTTGTGGGGTACAATGTGTTGATTTCTTGTCTTGAACTCTTGGACTCCCAAAATGCTGAGATTGTAGGTGTGAGCCAACACACCCTGCAGGTCTCAGATTTTTAGTGAGCCTGTATTCCTGAGCTATGACCTTCACAAGTGTTTATCAACTCACTCTTCATACCACTTTAGGTGAGATAAGGCTAGGAGGGCTGGATTTGGGTATTTCTACTCCCCCACATTAAAGACTAAGGGGGGTTGGCGTTAAGGATTTTCCTTCCCTCAAGTTGTTCAGACTAGTAAAACCTAAGATAGATAGGATCTGGTAGAAGAGCTTCCTTAAGGACAGCCCTTTCTCATGGGAAACAGAGTGCTCCTTGGTATTTCCAATTGGTTACTCTCTCCCTCCTGTAGGAAGCATGAGGGAATTGTTCTCAGCTCTTCACCCAGAGAACCTGGTGGGACCAGTAGAGGTAAATCTCAAGGAGCATAGATACCTCCCTAAGGCTGGGCCTCTAGAAGTTTTATCTCCCAGATTAGTCTATGCTGAGGCATTAAACAGTTCTACTTAAATCATTCTTAGCAGGTTCTAGCACTAGCTTCTATTCCTGGTAAGATGCGATCCTCTATATTTGCATATCCCTCTAGTTTTCAGGACATCACTCTTCCCTGATTTTGTTATGTGTGAGAAGAGTTCTTAAATTTGGTTGGTTCAACTTTTTTCTTGTTAGAGCAAAAGTGGTGATTCCTTAGCTGTTTTCATATTGGACAAGAAACTGGAAGTCCTCGCCTTTTTATTTCAATCATTCACAGCCAAGGCTAAATTAGGTATTTTTCCTTGTTTTGCCTCTAAGCTAGCTGTCTTTTCCAGTCCACAGTTCTTACTGAGACCCTGGCAAGGCCAGTCTGGCTGCCGGGTAAGCGGGTGCCCCAGCCTTTTACCCTTTATGTTCCCAATCTCCAGACCAGTTAGCCCTGTACTTCAGTGCTAGCTTGCCTCCTTTCTCCCTGGGTACCACTTTGTGTTTGTTATCATTGCATTTTCCTTACTTTTTTAGCCTTATCCAACCATTTAATATTTTATATGTTATGTACTAGGAGAGTCTTAGAATCTCTTGTCTGCCATAAGCAACAATGGCTTAAAATACAGAATTATTACTACTCAATACTCTGAATTTATAAACTCTTTGAAAAGCTAGACCTGTAAAGTAAAAAAACGGTAACAATACCAGGTAACAAATGGTAAATTGTATCCAGAATATATGGTTTCAACTGATTTTGTTTTGTTTCGCTATTAATTTTTTTCTTCAATTTAGATAAATCAAAGTTAAATGAATCTAAGTCTCTCATTCTGTCTCAAATCTTTAATAGTTCTACTTTTGAAATTTAAAATACTTTTCCTCTGTAATTATTAAGAAATGTTAATTGGCTATTTCATAAAATAATGTGGAAAGCAAATAATAAGTTTTACCTTAAATCTTTCTATATAAGCATTTCCATGCCTTTTTTGTCCTCAATGGTAGATTTTTAAATAGAAAAGACAAGCAGAAAGGATACTTATTATTTAATGTTTATGGCATCCAGGATACTAAAAGCCAAATTCAAAATGATTACTAATAATAAAGTAAAAGTTGAGATAATTTTCTTTTCTTAAAATTTCAATCTATATAAGAAATACCTAAAGGTTTACTCTAATAAGATAAGTTTGCAGCTCATCAATTAGTGAGGTACGAGGCATAAATCCAGTGTTTTATCAAATTCTCAGTTTTGGGTAAAAGATTTTCTGTTGGCATTTAAAATTCTGGGAATAACTCACTTGGATGCACAGTGACTAAGCAAGAGAAGATCAATGCTGGCTACACACAGAGCTGGAACTTCTGTGTCAGTCAGTCCCCATAGGAGCAGATACTCTGCCTTCTAGTTGGAAGCTGAAGAGCAGAGCAGCAGGCAAGGTGGCATTACGTTAATCACCCTGCTGAGGATGTGGCTGAGATTTTTGTTTTACTACTACTTGCTTATGTTACAGACTATCTGTAATCATGGCAATATTCTGGGGAGCTGCATTTATTATAATGAGGTTGTGGGGGAAATGAATTGAATCCTGTCAGTGGATGTATTAGCTATTTGAATCATACGTGTTCAAAGTATGAAGTGAGACATTCTTTTGAATTCTTTTCCGAGCATCTTTTCTTTTGACCTAGTTTGTATAACACCGAAGCAAATATAAATCTGATTTGGGGTTTTAATTACTAAATATATAAAGAGGGTACCTCTTTTTAATTTTTTTTCATGTAACTTAAAATTGTTTTATCTGCTTATTAAGTTTTATACTAATGTTAGTGTATTTCTGAGTTGTGTTTGGAATAGTATAAGTGCTCACATTTATAAGTTAAACCTAGAGGCACAAATAACCAAATAAAGAGCTGCTCTTTACGGCTACACCTTAATCCCTAGAAGTATGGCATGTTTGCATGTTTATGACAAGAACTGATTTTCAGAGTGTTTTATACTTTTCTGGTTCTTTATAAAGGCATAATATTTACCTTTCCTCTTAAATACAGATCAGTGTTGCTGCCCAAGATGTTTATACATAAATATTTTGTCCTTAAATCTACAGAGATTAAAAGATGTTGGTGGAGAAGCATTTTACCCATTACTTGAAGATGAGTATGTATAGTTCCATCTTATATTTAGTTTTCTTTTCTGTTAGTATTAGACTTATAAAAAGTTTGTACATTTTCTATGAAAAGCATTATATGTATTTTTCTTTTATATTAGACTTGTAAAAAATTTGTACATTTTCTACAAAAAGCATTTCACAAATGAAACGTAAAAATACAGTGTATTCCTTTATTAAAATTTTATACTTTGGGTCATTCTTTTTTTCTTTTATTCTTTTACAGCCAGTCTAATTTACCTCATTCAAACAGCAATAACGAGTTGTCTGCAGCTGCTACTCTCCCTTTGATCATCAGAGAGAGGGACACAGAGTACCAACTAAACAGAATTATTCTCTTTGACAGGCTGCTAAAGGTAGGAATTCTAAAGTGGAAAGTGTTAACAGTAGCCCATGTATGATTCTATTATGTATGTATTTAGTTTCATTGGTAATCCTTAGGGACTTGTGAGGTTATGAGAAGGCTAATTCTTACCACCTGTCTTTTCCAATTTACTTTCTCCAATTATAAAAATTGTACATGGTCATAGTAAAATGAAAAAATAAGAGTAAGGCTCGGGAATATATGAAAATAATGTTAAGACAAAAGATTAATAGCCTTACTTTTTAAAGAAAACCTAAAAATCAATAAGAAAAAGAACCAAAATTGAAACAGAGGAACAGATGAAGTACCTAATATAAATATAGTTAGTAAATGTGTTCAAATTGTTCATCCTCGCTAAGAATGAAAAATGCAGATTAAAATAGGGGGGTTTTGGTATACTAATTAGTAAAATGAGCAAAAGTACATTGAAACTGAAACTGTCATTCTTTCAGAATAAGTGAATCTACAGAAATACTTTGTAAAGCAATGTGAATAGGTATATCAAGAATCTTAATAATATCAGTACTTTGTCCTATTAATTCTCTTCTAAAAATTACTTCTAAAATACAATTTTTTTAAAGGACAAATTTATGTGTAAGATATGGAAATAGCCATAACAATAGCTTATGATTATTTAACCAACATGAGGCCGGTATCATCCTTCATATGATTCATTCAAAATCCTTCCGGAACACAAAATGGAAGGGATTAAAAAGCAGGTAGAAGCAGCTCCTCTTTTCAATTATAATATACAAGTTTTTCAGGCTGTTAGAGATCCATTCTACTGCTTATTTATATGTATTTAATAAGACCAAAATAATTGCAGATACTTTGAAATTTATTGTAGGTCATTTCATCTTTATCACTGGTATATTCAGAACTGTCTAGACTAAAAGATGGCACTTGGTAATTTAAGACATTTTTTATTTCTTTTTCTCATATCGTAGGCTTATCCATATAAAAAAAATCAAATCTGGAAGGAAGCAAGAGTTGACATTCCTCCTCTTATGAGAGGTCTGACCTGGGCTGCTCTTCTGGGAGTTGAGGTAAGAAAGAAGAGAGAAGCCGATTAACAATGCTGAGAAAGGATGAAAAAGGTAGTGCTTTCTGAAGATGTTATTTTTTAAATTATTAGAAAATTATATAGTAAAATATGAGAAATATTAGAATACTTGGCCATTTAAATGAAAGGAATATAGGAAAAGAGCAGAATAGAATAAAAATTAACAATTGAAAGTTTGTTAGATTTATGCTGCCTAATATTTAATGGTGCTTACAGAAAATATCTTGATTATGAAGTTTAAAATCAGTACATTTCAAATATATATATCAGTTACAAGTGGATAATAAAAAAAAGATAAAGTACGCTTATCATGAAATACAATTACCTATTTATAAATGGTTCTGCCTAAGTTTGGAAAAATCTTTCAATCCAATTTGTGTTTTGTCAAAATCACTAACATAATTTAGTAGCTTTTGGCACACCTATTCCACCTGGACTAGGCTGCCAAGAGAATTAGTTACTTTGTCTTCTACAACACTTTATCTGTGGCAGAGAGGAAAGGAGAGATGTCACAAAATTATTAGGGTAGCTTTCAGTACTAACAGAAAGTTCTGGTGACAGCAATGATGGTAATGGACCAACCTGTGCCAGATTACTTCATATACTGTCCATTTCTTTGTTATCCTCTCTTCCTGTATTCTCTTAGAGATATTTATCCTTTTTATAAAAAAAAAATTGTCCTCGACCACTTTTAATCTTGTTTCAACCCTTCTTTGGAAGGAATTCCTTTCTTCACTCCTGATTCCCTGGATGAGAGTCTATCGATACTTTGAGTTTGGTTGGTTACTTTGCAAGAATGCCTGTTGTTCCATTCCATACGTTAATCATAGACTTGTAGAACCATGTGATGCTAAAGACCAAGAGGACTTCAGGTATCTATTGTCCAACCCTCATTAAATGAGTGTCCCAAGGAAGCTGCTATAGTAAATGATGTCAGAACATGAACTCAAATTTCTGGCTCTTTCTCTACCACAATGGTAAGCCAGAATAATAAGTATTTTATCATGCTAGGTCCTATAGACCATGACCAAAACTTGAAGTAGTTTATTCAGTTATTCCTGATGTAACAGTGTAACAAAAATATTAATGATCCTTTAGTCCCTAATGATTCTGTAATTATATGGTCTCTATTCCTTAATTTATCCTGCGCTTCTGTTTCCTAGTGCTGATCTGCCACTCCTTTGAACAGTTTTATTTTATTTCTGCTTTCATAACCAACTTGAATAGGAAAATTTCTTGTAGAACCACCTCCCTTTAAGAAACTTACCTGTTCATGACAGTTACTATTTATGAAATAACAATGTTAACAAAGTTGTATAGTTGTATAGTTGTACTGCTTTGTACAGGCTCAGAGTTTGGCTGAGTATACTCGATAGCTAAGTGACTCCTCTAAGACATTTACCTCCTATGTATAATTCAAAGATCTACCTCAGCAAAACAGCAAATTGTCACTTACCACAGACTTTCATGACAAGTAGTTAAGGATGTAGAGAGTTTCTCTTAATTTAAAATATACCTCTGGTTTGAATGTGTCTACATGTGGTTGGCTAGGTTTTCAAAGATAGATATTTATAAAAACAGATTTTTCTATCTATATTGCCATTTGTATTAAAGATATGGAGACTAATGTGTCTTCTTGTTATTTGCAGGGCGCCATTCATGCCAAGTATGAAGCAATTGATAAAGACACTCCAATTCCTACAGATAGACAGGTATGATTTAGAGTTTTTAAAGCAACCCAAGATAATTATGCCAAATCTATAAAATTGAGGGAGGCAGGAGGAAATTTTCTTTTTTTCATAATGAATGCCTACCTACTATCATGGACAGATAGTGTCAGAATAAACATAACTCCTATAATTTTGTGAGTTAGAACAATACTTTCAAGAATGTGCAGTCAACTGACCTTTTTTTAATAACTGTATTTCTTCTTCAGAAAAATTTGCCCTTTTATTGAGACTATGTTGTAAAGGAAGACATTTTTGAAATACATACCTTTTCAAAAGAAATAGTCCCTTTTCTCCTATTTAGGTATACATACAACAACTCTGGTGCTTCCTGAAGATCAATAAAAAATTAAAAAGCTTCAGACACCAGGGTTATTAAGGTAGTCGCTTCTGAAATTCATATCATAGTCTCTCTTCTTATTTATTCCGGGTATAAAGGTCGAGGGTTTGTTGGGGATTGCTCTGTTACAGATCCGCCTTATTGTTTTGCTACTTTAACAGATTGAAGTGGATATTCCTCGCTGCCATCAGTATGATGAACTGTTATCGTCACCAGAAGGTCATGCAAAATTTAGGCGTGTATTAAAAGCCTGGGTAGTATCTCATCCTGATCTTGTGTATTGGCAAGGTAAGCTTTTAAGTTTTAGTTTTAGGCTCTTCTTAGAATATTAGGAGCTTATGCATGACTGACAATTTTAAAAATTTTCAAAAATATTAAAACATCCTTGGGTTTGGGAAAAGTCAATACTAAAGCTCTGATTCATTTTTCAAGACATTTATTGAGAAGTTTCTTTTAAGTTTGTCTAAATGGCTCGTAGATACCATTTAAATGCATGATATTTAAAATGAAATAACTTGGCCATCACATTGATTAGGAAAGTAGACAAAATATTTGGTGCTATCATAATCTTTGTGGATACATTTTTTAATGCTTATGCACATAGTTAAATAATTATGGGCTAGTTGAAGTTTTTACAGTTAATGATTCCCAATTTATTCTTACCATGGTTATTGGAAATTAAAGAATAAGATATCACTCTAAACCACTCATTCATTTTATTTATTGTCCTTTTTTTCTCAGTATTTTTAATGGTCCAGATCTTTTATTTTTAATTTTGCCATTATTATTTTTGTGGTCATTGATGAATTATCCTAGTGAAATGGGAAACCCATTCCACCCATTCCTGTTTTTGGATGTGTTGTTGTAAACAGCTGTTTTTACTTTTAATTCTCTGTTTCTTACTGGCCATACTTAAAGCTATTGTTTTTCCTAGCTCTGTTCATTTTAGAGGTATTTTATAGTCTACTAACAATTATAGATAGATTTTTTATTATTATTATTATTTTTAGAGACAGAGTCGCACTTTGTTGCCCTCAGTAGAGTGCTGTTGCATCACAACTCACAGCAACCTCCAGCTCTGGGCTTAGGTGATTCTCTTGCCTCAGCCTCTCGAGTAGCTGGGACTATAGGTGCCCCCTCAACACCCGGCTATTTTCTGTTACAGTTTGGCCAAGGTCAGGTTCAAACCTGCCACCCTCCGTATATGGGGCTGGCACCCTACTCACTTAGCCATAGGCGCCATCCTATAGGTAGATTTATATGCATTCTTTCAGCGTGGAAACATATAAACAACATTGTTATCAATAAAAGCAATACGTTACATATTTGTATTTCACTTCACAATTTTTACAGGATTTTTTTTCACATCCCAAAGACAAAGAACATAAAAACAAATCTATATCTCTTAGATGAGAAATCATACTTAAAGATATAAATAATTGCCAAGATACACAGTTGGGGTCAAAGATGGGACTGTCTCGAAAGTCTTCTAACATTCTTATATTTTTCTATTAGTGTATTTCTTCAACTCATAATAATGTTGATAGTAATAACCGATTTGTTTTGGAACTTACTCTGTGCCAGACACTATCATTTACTCCTCACAGTAATTCATGAAGTAATGCATTTCTGATGGGGATACTTAAATTTTTAATCCATTTGGAGGTAATGCAGTGAACTAAATAGCATATATGTCCATTGCACAATTCTGCTGCGTTGTATTGATTTGACTTCCTTCCCCGCCCACATTAGGTCTTGACTCACTTTGTGCTCCATTTCTGTATCTAAATTTCAATAATGAAGGTAAGCCCTTTGTAATTTAATTATTGTGCATATTATTCTAAAATATGTGATTCAAACATGAAGTGTTTTTGTTTTTGTTTTAAAGTTCATGAACTTTTCCCTGGTAGATTTCTGTGACGCAGTCTGTTAGACTCATTTTAGAGGATGTGAAGGATTAATTAATTACCGGAAAGTTTCATTTATGACCAAGTTGTAATTAAGGATTTGGTGGGAATTTTACTGATTATTCTAAATGCAGTTACCTACTTTGATGATTATTTTTATGAACTAGAGAAATTTCTTCTGACATTAGTTTTAGTCTATCTAAGGAATTTATAAGGAAATCAATATTGGTTACATTTCCCCTAATCTTAATCTCTCCAAAGCCTGTTGTAATTTCAGATCTTAATGAAGATTTCTCTTATTCTCTTTCCTGAGCCCACATAACACTTTGTAATGTAGAAAATTTATTTTTTTTGTCTGTCTCGTACTCTAGTTTCTTATACACTAATATTGTAATCCTTTTTGTAACAGATATTTTAATGACAGGTTTTTTTTTCTGCCCTTCTGCTATAATAACTTTTTATAGAATATTTTTCTATAAATACTTGTTAAATTCAACTGACTCAAATTCCATTTGCCAATATCACATATAGAACATGTTACCATATATCACTTCAATGTACAGATGCCTAATCCATCCTTTCAAATTGTATTTCATGTCAGAATATGCATAGATTTCTGTAATTGAGTCTAGATAATGTATTCCCAGAGAATTGCAGTTTCCCTATTTGAATGGTTTAAAAAATGCACTGTTCTCTGATATCCTCATTCATTAGCCTAGACTAGAGGTTTCGTTCTGTTTATTAGGCAGAGCTGATTATCACTGACAGTAGTCCAAAAATAGTAAAGCGTCTGTGTTTGCAAATATAGGTTATAATAATCCTACATTTAAAGTTTGCAGATTCTTGTTTGCATCAGCAGTAGCCAAAGGTCATAAGATTTATATCACTCATTAAATTGATCACAGTTAGAAATTTATAAGAACATAAAGCTTAAATGATAAAGGTTTTTATCATTGTCAGGTAATGATTGCCACAGAAGTTCGAAATGAAGTTACTGGAATGATTATCTTTTGTTGTGCAAAATATTTTCTGTTTTAAAGTGCAGGAGCTTTCCCCAACCCTTTGTGTTTCCAGCACTTATTCCCATAACTGTTCATAACAAACTCAAAGAATGTGTAACTGAGTGAAATACTGCTGGTCATTTACCCTATTAACTCATTTTTTGCCTTTGCTTTATTCTTTCTTAGCCTTGGCATATGCATGCATGTCTGCTTTTATTCCCAAGTACCTGTATAACTTCTTCTTAAAAGACAACTCACATGTGATACAAGGTAAGCAAATGCCTTGTCTTTTTTATAGGCGACGTGATTATGTCAAAAGTAACCAATACTCAATTACATTTGTGATTTAGGCCCAATAAAATATGGTGAGGGTTCATCACCAAAACCTACTACTATTTGTGTTCTTGATGTTTAAGATTAAAAATGCTTCACCGTGGAGTGTGCCTACTGTGAATTAGTAAAAAACTTAGCCATCACTTAATTGTGTAAATAGGTAATTAAAAACACTTCTCATTCATCTCATTCCCTCCAGTGCTTGCACACTCAAAAGGAACTCCCTTTTTGTCCTACCTCCCTAAAATATACCTCCTCCTGCCAAGTCCAAGTTTAACCCCTTTGTGAATTCATTCAGCTACATTCAAACTTACAATATTCTGAACTCCTTTTAATAATAATCTAACAAAAGTTAAAAATAAGCACTTTGTATTGAACCAGATACACCTTTCAAAATTAAACTTCACTACTTACTGTATAATCTTGGACAAATCATTTAAGTTCTCTAGATATCATATTCCTGATATCTACAATAAAAATCTTGCTACAAAGTTTAAACATAGTAAAATTTGTAAATACGTGAAAAACAGAAACATTCAATAAATTCTATAATTTATTTCTAATGTGATTGTTACTATTCTTGCTATTTTTCACTAGTACCATTATTATCATGACATTACACGCTATTTCATGTCTTATCTTTTCATCAGAGATTCTAAATATTTTAAAATAAGGGAATTTTCTTGTATTTTTGTATTATTTTAAAACTGACTACAAAGCTGCTCAGTCTCCTATTTATGACTTTTAATGACACTGATCACGTGATCTAGAGTTTTTACCTATCCATTCTACCAAATTTTAAACAGCTTAAAGCTGGTTCTGTGTTTCATTTTTATTGAGATCATTATGGTTTGATATTTCACTCAGTTTGAAAAGACAAAGTAGGAAAACTAGAGGCTACGTCTGATTTATCAATAATTCTGAGTAAGCATGGTCTCAAGGAATAATAATTTTAGATGGTTAGAAAGAAGATAAAATTAAAGTATGAGAGATCAATATAATGGGAAATAATTAGAAAGGAAGATGTAAACAAACAAACAAAAAAACCTAAAAGTTTTTTTGAGAAGGAAAAGAATGTAGATAAATAGCTCAGCGCATTGAACATTTACTATTTTAGTGTCATTTAGACTGGCTTACAGAGAAAAAGTACTAAAATGATCTTTTGGTTTAAAATGGATATGCCCAATTTTCTGTATATTTTCTACAATGTGGACTTATACAAAGATAGAATGAATTGGCTCGGCGCCTGTGGCTCAAGCAGCTAAGGCGCCAGCCACATACACCTAAGGTGGCGGGTTCG